TTTTGGACTGAAGCAATGCAACACCCGCTGACTGCAATGATAGAGCTTGAAAGATCAAAGACAATTTTTTATATAACTCCGACTGGATTCGTCTGAAAGAAGAAAGCCATATATACCTAGGATGCCTCGGGGGTGAGTAAAACGCAGCCTAATTTTCATTTTTGGGTGAACTAACACTTTAAGGATTCATGCAGCTTCACCTAGACATTAAGAATAACAGTCTCATGCTCGCTTAATTGTTTTTGTGACAATCAATTGCACAATGTGCCCTTTAAAATAATGCCACCTTTATTTGTTAGTAGAAGTGTCCCACTTCTCAATATGCTTTTTTGAGATTTATGATTTTTCAGTGGCATTAGAAATGGAGTTTGATCCAACAATTTTTTGCTCTGGCTGTTATTTACCTTGTCTTTGCTCATTATAGAATTGTAATCAAATTATATAGCATATGTATGATCTGTATTATGTAATGCAAAATTTATGATCAAACGTTAAAAAAGGTGTTACTCTAACATAATGTTGCTCTGAAATAAGAAAGAAAAATGTGTGCAAATACACGATATGTTTCTCTTTTATTGTCACGCACTCATTCAAACTTGCATGTGTTTCCAGGTCACGGAGCAGATGTGAAGTGTGTCGATTGGCATCCCACGAAGGGCTTGGTGGTGTCCGGCAGCAAAGACAGCCAGCAACCTATTAAATTTTGGGACCCAAAGACTGGACAAAGTTTGGCAACACTGTAAGTAAGCAGACCCCTGTAAGACAGAAAAATATTGTAATCTTTGTTGCCCATGCCCAAATGGTTTGACAGGTGTTAACAGACGTCGTAAGCCATTTAATAACAAAAAAATTAGCTGCATTGCAAATCTTGGTTTGAGTTTGAGTACTTAATCAAGTAAGACAGATTAAGAAGGGCCACTAATTTTACAGTTGTGTTTTGTTCTCAGACATGCACATAAAAACACAGTCATGGAGGTGAAGTGGAACCTCAATGGCAACTGGCTATTGACGGCGTCACGTGACCATTTATGCAAACTGTTTGACATTCGCAACCTCAAAGAGGAGCTGCAGGTTTTTAGAGGACATAAGAAAGAAGCCACAGGTATAATCCTAATGAGAATGTGTATTAATCTTGTGCAGGTGAAGCAGTGTGTTGTATACATATACATTGTATACATATGTTTTCTCTTTTTGGTTGCAGCTGTAGCTTGGCACCCAGTTCATGAAGGCTTGTTTGCCAGTGGAGGCTCTGATGGATCACTGCTATTTTGGCATGCAGGGTAAGCACCGTTCAGATCCTCTTTGTACCGTATAACCATATACGGTAGCATTACTCAAAATGTAATACTATGTGGAGTAGCTTCAAATTTTGTGTTATTTGACTGCTGAAGTTGTTGGAATATTTTGCTAGTGTGGAGAAAGAGGTGGGAGGAATGGAGATGGCTCATGAAGGAATGATCTGGAGTTTAGCCTGGCATCCCCTGGGCCACATCTTGTGTTCTGGGTCTAATGACCATACCAGGTAAGTGTGTGTCAAAAAGCATGCATGTTGCGACCAAATGTGTCTATCAGGGTTGTTACATTTACCAAAATTTCAGTAGTTAATACCAATACCTGTGAAATTTCACAATTCTCAATGCCAGTTTTGTTACCACAGCAAAAAATTATATGCTATTGCAGGGGTTTTCAACCTTTTAGGACATGCGCCCCCCCAAGTTTGTCTAATTTCACTCG